CCAAAATGTTTGAGGACTGCTGTCTTAAATCTCCATTAGTCACTTGAATTCACAAAACTGTAGGAATTTATAAGTGTGGTAGTAGAGACCGATAGACAAAGGTGACTTCATTACTCAAGGTCGCACAGTGCATCAGCGACAAAGATGGCTCGAGATCTGTGATCTGCTGCTATGTTGTGTCATACAACCCAGACTTCTCTGGGACGCTCTTCAGAGCACCAACATTGCAATTTTGAGATACTCAAGCCATAGATAGGGTGTGATACCATCCTCCCCTCAAAATACATCTGCTCAAACAGGAACAGGACCGACTAAGTTTGTGCTTATTGCTACTGAGGTCAAAGTAAGTAAAACCTGGCCCTTGTGTGGGGGGTAACCAAGCTCACCTTTTAGAGGGAGAGACTACATGAAAGGCAATATCTCATAGCATACAATATGACTTACCAGGCAAGTAATATAATGTATATTCATACAACCTATATAATTCTATTATTATCGTAGGCAATATTATATATTATAGAAGTTTTATTGTATCTCTAGCATATATATAGTAGAATATAACTTACAGTAAATACATTTACTATATCTAGGAAAGGGGAAGGACTTTGGGGTCACAGTTGGCTGGTAATTCTGCACATGGGCACAGCATGGCAAAGCAGAACTGTGAACTTGGAAAGTTTGCCACCAGCTGTATACCATGCTCTTTCTGACACTTTCTGGCTTGCATTTGTTTCTGAGGGCTGTCTTTTTTTTTTTTTTTTTAAGATTTTATTTATTTATTTGACAGAGAGATCACAAGCAGGCAGAGAGGCAGGCAGAGAGAGAGGAGGAAGCAGGCTCCCCGAGAGAGCAGAGAGCCCGATGCGGGGCTCGATCCCAGGACTCTGAGATCATGACCTGAGCCGAAGGCAGCGGCTTAACCCACTGAGCCACCCAGGCGCCCCCTGAGGGCTGTCTTAACAAATCGTCATAAACTGGATGGTTTTTCCCATACACAGAGATTTATTCTGGAGGCTAGAAGTTGGACATCAAGATGTCAGCAAGGCCATGCTCTCTCCAGAGGCTCAGAGAAGGCTCCCCTTCCTCATCTCTTCTAGCGTCTGGTGTTTCTGGTGATCCTTGGTGTTCCTTGCCTTGTAGAGGCAGGACTCCAATTTCTACCTCTGTCTTCACATGAGCCTCTCTCCTCCAGGTCTGTGTCTATATTGCTCTCTTCTTATGAGCACATCCACATATTTAGGGCCTGCCCTAATCCGGTATGACCTCATCTTACCTTGATTACGTCTGCAGAGACCCAAATAAGGGCGCACTTAACATTCTGGAAAGATATGAATTTGGTGTGTGTGGGAGGCATTATTTAACCTAGTACACTGCTTGTTTGCCTGCCTTCAGCATTTACTGTTCGCAGCCTCTTCCCCAGCCCACACGTTTTCCCTCACACTTTTCAGGGCCTGGGGTCCCGTGGAACCTCACCTGGCCGTTCTCTGTTGGTGTTTTGAGTGGTTGCCATAAGCTCCCTTCCTTTAACCCATGACTTTAACAAAGGGCTTCTCTGGGCCACATTGCTGCTGAGTTGTGAAGGGGGAAAGAAAGAAGCTGAACAACTCCACAGTAAAACAACAAAAACAAAAAACCCCAGCGGAATACCCTGATTTAAGAAATGGGCTAGGGACTTAAATAGACATTTCTCCAAAGGAGACGTTAAGAACCAACAGGTATACGAAAAAAATCTCAATGTCACTCACCATCAGGGAAATGCAGATCAAAACCACAATGAGATACCACCTTATACCTGTCCGGGTGGCTGTCGTCAAAACCCCCATGTCAACAAACACTGCTGGGGATGCAGAGAAATCGGGACTCCGGGGCACTGTTGCTGGGAACGCAATTGGGAGTAGCCACTGTGGAGAACAGTACGGAGGTTCCTCAAAAACCTGAAAACAGGACTTCCCTATGATCCAGCAATCTCGCTTCTGGGTATTTACCAAAAATAATTGAAATCGGGATCTTGAAGGGATATCGGCACAATCCCCGTCAGTGCAGCAGGGTTCACAAGGGCCAAGGCGTGGGAGGAGCGTACGTGTCCGTGGACCGGTGAATGGATAAAGAAACCGACTGTGCTATATACACACTGTGGAATAGTCTTCAGTCTTAACATGGAAGGAAGATCAGAAAATGTCACGCCATGGATGAACCTCGAGCACACGATGCTAGATGAGTTCGGTCAATCATAGAGAGACAGATATTGCCCTATTTCATTCGTAGGAGGTCACTAGAACAGTCCATGTCATAGAATCAAAAAGTGGAATGGTGGTCACCAGGGCTGGGGGGAGGGGAAACGAGGAGCTGCTATTCAGCGGGAATAAAGTTCCAGGTGAGCCCGGTGAATCAGCTCTAGAGCTCTGCTGTCCCGCGCTGTGCCTGTGGTCATAGTAATGTATGGTCCACTCACAATGTCTTGGGGGGAGGTCTCATGGTAAATGCTCTTACCCCAAGAACGGAGAAGAAAAGAGAAAAAAAAAAGAAAAGAAGGAAAAAGAAAAGGAAGCTGAACATCCTCAAATGTTATTTCTATGGCTCTTTGGCAATTTTTGTTTCCTGGGTAGCATCATGATTTACGATAGAGCATAGTTGTCTGGGTCTAACATGATTTACGGCAATAGGGAAAAGGTGGGAAGCTGTGAAAGCCAGCATCCTCTGCACCTCGGGCACAGCTACGGGTGCAGGGGTGGAAGAGCGGGACGTGTGCACACAGTCCCAGCACTTTCACCTTCAGCTCTATGACCTGGGGCCACCAGGTTATCTCTTTGGGGCCTCAGGTTGGGCTCCGGGTATGGCTGCAGGATCTGGAGCCAGATCGCCTGTGTTCAAACCAGGGACTGTTAGGCTGGTTCTCTCCTCTCTCTGTGCCTCAGTTTCCACATCTTGCAAAAGGGTGCTAATACCCCACTACATGGGCTTCTCATGAGGAATAAATGAGTTAATATTATATGTGAAGCGTTTTGAACAGTGCTTGACAATGTAGACATGAGTTGTTGTTCTATGAATTTTCTGTCCAGCTTATTAGAATTCCAGTATTTTATTAGTTCCTCCTTCAATTCCCTTATCATTACCCACCCCCCCAGCTACCCCCACCAGAGGCAAAGTAGGTGACAGTAGGTGGATATGGCTTTTGGTTTTGTTTTTTAATTCTTTCCTTGTCACTTCTGATGAGCCCTGGGGAAGATTTCCTTTGTCAGGATGTCTTAAACGACCAGGAACCAGGTGCCTGAGGAGTGCTTCTTGGGAAGGCCTTAGGGAGCCGACATTATAAACTCCAGCGAGCACCAAGCTATTATTAAATTAATAGTCGCCTGTCTGAGTGAGGCTTTATCAGTAACTCTAGCTCTGTGGGTAGGTGTGTTGCCCACAATGTGGCCTCCCACCTTTCCGATTTTGTATAACGGAGCCTGTGGTGTCTCAGCTGCTCAGGAGTGGGTGTTTGCAGCACAGAGGAAAAGCGAGACCTGAATAAGGATGGGGCTTTGGGGATCGTTAAGAGAGAGGTAGAATAACTGTAATTTCATAGCAATTACCTACAACCAACACCGTCAAAGGCGCCAGTTTTCCGTGATAAACCTGAGCCTCTGCTGGGAGCAATTTGCAAGGTAGAAATAAGCATACAGTTAGACTCTTACATATGAAAGAAGGCATCAGCCCCTCCCCGTCCAAATGCCACAGCAAAACAAACCTCAGAGGGGAAAATACTGTGTTGCATTTTGGGAGTGCATTTTTTTTTTCTCCTTCTTTAAAAAAAAATCTTAATAAACCCTCATTCCAGTATGTTGTTTGAGTTGTTTCCAGCTTTGCCAGGAAGCCCGGGGGCCTCCCAACCACCTGATGGGGCCACGGTTTCCAGGGGAGCCACCAGTGAACTTGAGTGAATGGGTGATTTCTCCCCCTAAGTACCATGTCAGGGACCCATAAACCACTCTGTGGAAATGAATTATACAGAGATCAGTTACCCAACTTTTTTTTTTGTTCATGCATTTGCTGAAAATGAAGTCGTTATAAAATTCATGTTTCTGCAGCCCACTCAGAAATAAAACTAGGCTCGCCTTTCAGATGATAAAACAGAAACAAAAACAAAAATGAAAAAACCACACTATTTTGAGAATGGTCCTGAGAAAGGGAAATCTAGTGAGCAGAAGTATGCAAGCACTCAGGAGGGCTATCTGATATTGTTCCAGCCCTATCTGCCAGCCAACCCCACAGGAGGCCACAAGCTCCTTGGCTAAATGCATTTTTTTGAATCCCCTGTGTAATTTTCTCCAGGGCCTGGTACATATGAGTGAATTTGCATTAATCAAGTAAAAGGGATAGTTTAACAAATGATGGCTTATTGATGCTGAAGGTCAAGTACTAGTCAGAACTAAGGGGGCTGTTGATTAAAATCTTGAGTCTGCCTTCTAGATATAGAGAGATGGGGTCAAAGTCTGAACTTTTTTTACTCACGATATATCATGGAGCAAGGACCAAAGGGTACAACAGAGTAAACTAGAGAGGAATGTAGTTTGGCTAGGTATAGCCAAAGAAAAGCATTTCTAATGGTTAGAACTACCCTCAGAATGGAGTGCTTTGAGAGATACAAATTATTGGTGTGTGAAGACATTTAGGCATAAACTAGATGATTACCTGGGGGTATAGAAGTTGGTGGTCCAACATCATTTATGTTAGACTGTGAGATGTGGATGGTCTCCCTTTATCCTGAGATGTAGGGTCCTATGGTTTCAGAAAGTTTTAACTACATAGTCGCCATGCTGGGAACTCAAATTCAGTCCAGCACCTATTTACTGAGTCCTTACCGTGTGCCAGGCGTTGCCTGGCATAGACTTGAGGAAAAGGACAATAACCTAGGGCAACTGCCTTTGAAGTTAGGTTGGGTCTCCATTGGGCGTATATTCCTTCTTCCCAATATGCACATGCTGATTTAGGACTCTGGTTCTTTCTCTTCTTTCTAGGCTGGAATTGATGGGGAAAGCATTGGCAACTGTCCCTTCTCTCAGCGTCTTTTTATGATCCTCTGGCTGAAAGGCGTTGTGTTCAATGTCACCACTGTGGATCTGAAAAGGTAAACAATGCCATGTTAAGGAAGGATGTGTTTGGCCACATGAACGGAGAACTTTCTATGAGGGAGGGCGAAAGCCTGCCCATGGCTTCCAACAGCCTCCTGCTCTCACCGCATGGACCATGTGTCTCAGGGCCCATCCCCACATATTAGAGAGGGACCTGGGACTGAGCATTTCTCTGCCCAAACTAACAAGGTGTTAGTAGCAAGAAAGTGGGAAGGAATAGATATTGGATATGCAACAGAGAGTGGCCCAGAGGTAGACATACATATCTTAAAATCCAGGAGTCAGCCATTCCAGCGGTACTAGCATCCCAAGCTGGGGGACCCTAGTAGGACTTCAGATGTAAGGCTCCTGAGTTTCCAGGCTGTTGGCATTCGACCATCTCCCCTGCATTGCTCTCATTTTTGGAATTCCTTAGTGTGAGCATTCTGAATTATAGGCTGGGATGGAGAGTTGCTCATGCACTTTTAATGGTTGTTAAAAATACCAGGGATCATTCACTATCAAGAGCCACTCATTTCAGGCCCATATCCTGCTTCTTGTCTTCTACCTGTCCTTTCAATGCAGAGGAGCTCAAGGCTCCCTCCCTGAGCCTCTAGCATCTGCCTGTATAGCTTCTTCCCTGGTGAGCTTAACATATTCTACATGTCACCTTTATGCAGATTATGCTATACCCAGGACCCTACCATCTAGAAATCTCTAGAGCAATTTCCACTTGCGTTTTCTATTATCACTTTAAAATCTAGATGTCAAAACTTTTATCTGTCGTTTCCCCTTTGAGTTGAGCTCCCCTCCTGAATCCCTGGGTTCTTCCATTTTCTAAGCACTGGAGAATTTCCGGCTCCCTTTTCTTGCACCTCCCTTGTCAACCAGTCGCCAAAGGCAGGGCATTGTCCCAATGTGCTGCGGCTCACCTCTGAGGCCTCTCATCCGTTCCCTAAGCTCACACTGGGGTCGGGTCCCACCACTGCCAGCCGACTGCCTCTTTGTTCTTCCAACTGGACATCATCCTTCCAGGTTCTCTCTCTCTCTCTCTGATCCATCCTTTATGTTATCCTCAAGTCATTCTTCCTAAAATAGTCCTTTAGTCATGTGGTTCCCCCACTGAGAAAACCTTCTGATCCTTCCCGTTGCCCGTGGAATAAACCCGCCTGTAGCTCTTTGTCCGATCTTCAGTGTTCCCATCATTGTCTCCCAACGCTTCTCACCACAACCTAGCCCCCTCTGTCAGGCTGGACTCCCTCTCGCCCTGTCCCCTATAGCGGCCAGCCCCGGCTAGGAGGCTCCCTCGGCTTTCCAGATGCTTTCTTGCCTTCCTGAATGGACAGACCATGCCCAGGCCCCAGATTTCATCCTCCCTTCCCTGGATTATCATCGGCAGGAGTGCGCTTGAATGCTTGGCTGGGGATCGGAATGGGAAAGGAAGCCACCTCAGCGTTCCTCAGATGCTTCTGTTGCTCTCTCATATCTGTTATCTGACCCACCAACGCCCATGGAGGCGGGCTGCGCAATAGCCCAACTCCAGGTCAATAGATAAGGAAACTTTCTTACTGCAATAAATAAATAAATTAATAAATAAATTAATTTACTAATTTTTAAAAAGGATAGAAAAGGAAAGAAACAAAAGCAAAGAAAGAAAATATATCTATGAGACAGAGTTAAGGACTTTAAAAAAAAACACACGAAACAACAAAGTTCAGCAATTTCAGAGAATATTCGTTTCTTATCCTGGCACCACCATCTGTTGGGCGAGTGACCTGGAATGAGGTCCTTCTGGTGGTCTGAGCCTCTGTTTGCTCGTCTGTACAATGGGGACAGAAGCACGGCCTCGTCTGCAGAGGACCTGTGGGGATGTCGTGAGGCAGGTCTGGGGGAGCAGGTACGTGTGGGACTGTGCCTGGCTCAGAGCAGGCAGGACACACTGACTTTTCTTAGCATCGCCCCTTCCCTCCGGAGCTGGCGAGGCAGTCAGGACAGAGGACCGACACAGATGAAACAGTCCATCAGTTAGACCTGGCCTATCCACCTAAACACGAATTGCATAATTTGAGCCAAAAACGCTGAAGAGGGTCCACGAAGAGAGAGGTCCACAGCTGACCAGCCTCTCTTTGGCCGGAAGAGCAGCATCCGCCCTAGGCAGCACCCCCCAGCGATGCCAGACTCCAGGGGCCCCTGTTCTCTTGAGTCACGGGGAAAAAAAGAGAACTCTGTTTCTTTAAGCCACAGAGAGGTAATGGCCGAAAAATAAAATGAGTATAGATTTCGCCGCCCCGCTGAGAACCCAGGCACTTCTGCCTTGTGTCAGCTCTGAAAAACAGGAGGAGGAGGGAAAGAATGTCCTCTCATTGTCCAAAGGAGGGACGCCCACCAAGTAAACAAAGGGACCGAGTAGATGAGATCTTAAAACCACTCTCCGTCCCAGCTGTCTCAGGAGTTCCAAGTGCCACACAATGTAGCTGGAGAGGATGTGTGTTTAAGAAGCGATAGGGGAGTAGCACCGTAATTGAAATTCTTCCCTTCCCCTCCCAAACTGATTACGCCAGGAATTTGTTTCATTACAGACTTCTCTTCCCCTTGTTTACTTTTCTTCAGTTGCTCTATCCAATGTTTTTGACTCCTGACTCCCGCAAGGGTTGTTTTCTCGGCAAGAGCATTTGGGGTGAATCTGAAGTTCCAGCCGGGCGTAGGGACGCATGCTTTGTAGTTCCTCCTCTTCCTTACTGTTTCCTTTGGCACTGCTCGTGCCCCATGCCCCTGTCCTGCCCCCCATCCGCCAACCCTCCTTCTCTCACTGTGCTCCAATCTTGCTCTTGCATTTCCACCACCTGGTGGAAGCGTGGAAGCACGCTCTTGGGCATGATTGGGGCCATGGTGACCCCAAGGCCACTTTCTCTCCTGTTGCATATACTCTTAACAACACAGAAGATAGCTCTTATTATAAACATAAGATGTAATTCATTGATTTTTAAAGTTTGGCATCCTGAAGAGTTCATTTTTGTTAAGCTAAGTGGCAAAGGACCTTTTGAAAGCAGAGCCCAGCCTTTGCCCTGGGTATTAAAATCTTGGCGCTCATTTAGATGGCTACCTGCCATCACTCTGCTTTTCAGTAGAATGCAACTCCTTCATTGTGACTTATTCTCGTGACTTCTGCAAGACAGGCCTCCTGTATCGCACCACATCCCTTCAGAACTTTCTCGAACCTCCCCTGCTCTACCCGCCCCCAACCTAAGTCTGTTTTGCCAAGAGGCATGCTGGACAAACCGGGGAGTCTAATTTATAAGTTGTAGGTTCTTCCAAAGTTGAGGTGCCCCAGTGTAAGCCAGCTCCTGAATCTCGATCTCTCTACAGAAAGCCGGCCGACCTGCACAACCTTGCCCCTGGCACCCATCCGCCCTTCCTGACCTTCAACGGGGATGTGAAGACGGACGTCAATAAGATTGAAGAATTCCTGGAGGAGACTTTGGCTCCTGAAAAGTAATGAGCTGCTTATTTCTGAAGCTAAGGGCAGGGGTGGGTCCGTGTTGGAATTAAAGAACCAAAGTGTTAGCTTCAAGGAGGCAGATTTCCAAAGGAGCCTCGTCAGTCCAGAGCGTAGAACCCTCTTCTCAAACCCAGAGAGCTGCCAGTCTTAAAACTGCTCCTCCAAGTCCAACTCCAAGAGTGGACAACCCTATGAACAGGATATACCTCCTCAACAGAAGTCTGGGAAGGGTGCCGCCTCTCCATCTCCCTACATGAGTCCTCCCCTGTTCGTTATGCCTAAAAGACCCCTAAACGAGGGCGAAGTCTCCCTCGTTTTAGAATGAGAGCTGGAAGGCTGACGAAATTAGAGTAAGCCAGGAGAGAAGTAACCCTATGACTTAAAACCATACCCAAGTATAAAGTCACAAATCTGATCAGGTCTGGTTGAAGCCCATAATCAAAGAGGAAAAAACTGACTCCTCTTCTAAAGTCAGCCCTGAAGGTTTGAGGGTGGGGGAAGAGACCGGAGGGCTATAGGCTCTCTGGTAGACCAGCTGCTCCTGATGGAAAAATGGGTGCAGAGGGAAGGAAAATGAATTCTGAAAGTTACAGGAAACTAGACTCGTTCCTCATACTCTAGTATAATCAGGGATTAGAACAAACACACTGTTTTGTTTTAACTAGAGGAAGATTCCATACAGGTAAGTCTCACACATACTCCACCCTGGAGGAGAGCCACTGAAAAGTTTGAAGCAAAAGTGTTCAGACTCAGGTTTCAGGCTTACTTTGGGGGAGCGGGAAGATGAGCAGGGCAGAGGATGGAAAAGTTGGAGGTGAAGAAATCAATTAGTGGAAGCCACCTGGTGATGGTCACAAAAGACAGGCCATGTGGCTGAACTAAGGCAGTGACCGTGAACTGGGGGCAGAGAGGGGAAGAAAGACTCAGTATCTACTCGGCACCTAAAATAAGAGGGATTGGGCCACTGGAAACCAAAATAAATGGATCTTGTATTTATTTTGAAATTATATTTATTTATCAATACTTTTATAGTTTTCAAGTGCCCTGGGAGATAGATATTACCTAGTCTTGTTTTACAGCTGGGGAAACTGAAGCATTGAAAGGTTGAGTCACTTGCCCAAGGTCACATCTCTAACAAGTGACTGTTAAATTAAAATTCCCAGTCCATGCTCTGGTTAAGCCTTAACGTTTATACATTTTTCCTAAAAAGTATTCTTTGTCATCCACCTTAGGACGGTTTAATTTTACACTTAGAGTGGGAAGCTGCCTCTGGCCCATTGGAAGCAGCTGAATGTAGACTTTAAATGAGGGTATTGATTAAACCGGCCATAACCACTATCTCAACCACCACCAGAAGCCACAGCATCCCCAAACAGGACGCCAGCCAGCCACTGTGCTGAAAGTATCCTGGGAGGGCTCTGGTGCCATCCCTCAATTCTGCGACTCAGCCTTGTCGCTGGTGCTGGTTTTGAAGGCCCATAAGAGAAAATGAATGCTGTTTGCAGTTTAGACCATGCATGGGGGACCGGGATGGGACTGTCCAGGGGGAAGCTACTTTCCTCATGAGTATTCTCATGCTCAGGAGTGACCACTACTCTCTAGGCCAGTGGGGAATGGGAAACGGGAGCAGTGGGGAGCAGGCTGTCCCACAGGTCCTTTGCCAGGCCAGTCGATGGAGGTATGCAGAACTGGGCTGAGCCCCCGGGCCTGAGGCCTGCTATCCTAGTCCCACCAGCCATGTGGTGTGCCCCCTTGAATGTTCCTTCTCTGCTCAAAGCCTCTGTCCCATCCTGTGGAAAAGGATGACCGGAGAGACTCTCCTGTTCTTCACGCCCATGTTAGTCAGGCTCTCTCCACCCTGACCAGCTGTGCCTTTCCCAGGCTCTTTTTCTTCCTCAGGGATATCCAGCCCCACATCCACAGTGGGACCAAGAGGGCCTGGGAGATCCCCAAAGGGTACATGCCCCTGGTGCACATGTACGTTCTTCCAGAGGACAACCATCATCAGATCCACTGTCATTTCATCAGATTCCAAAAAGTTGCCATGATCCAAATAGAGCTACCTGGTGTCTGACACAGACACTCCCTCTTCTCTTCCCCCTCCACACACATTACCTGTCCTAAGTTCTGCTACCTCTGGTCTACGTCCTTTTCTGGACTGTAGTGGTGTGTGGGAGGTTTTCCTTCATGCATTTCTAACGTGTCAGTGACGCAACAGTCCACCACACCCAAGTAGCAGAACCTCAGACCTGCTCAAATGCATGTCTCAAGAATGCCACCAAGATGGCGGGCCTAGTGATGAGACCGGCAACGTCCTGGAGTCCACAGGAATGCCTTTTTGATGACTTTGTATGGGTCATACTGGGCCAGAGGTCATAATTACCTTCCACTAAATGCCCCCAAGCCAGTGCCTCGGCCTCACAAAAGAAGACCTGCTGTGCTGCCCACAACAAGCCCATAGCCCCAGCTGGCTGCCCACTGATTTGAGCAGAGAGGCCCCTGTGGCCTATAGTGGAGGCCCCTGTAGGAGCGCAGCTTGACCTTCTGGCTCTCTAGGGGGCAGCAAAGCCCCCAGAACTCTTCACTGAAGGCTGTTCTGCCATGTGTTTCTCATCACACCACTGTTTGTAAAAACTGCCAGAAAGCCAAGAAATTGTGGTAGCCTTTTTCCCCTTAGCTTTATTTTTTAAAGGAAAAAAACCACATGCAAACACTCCAACCATTTTTTTTTTAAATCACATTTGGTCCCACAAAGCATTTGGTGTCAAAAGAAATTCAGGAAGTCTCAAGTAGTTTCTAAATGAGACTAACTTCCCTTCCTTTCCTAAGACTGGCCCAGTTACCATTCAACAGGGAAGCACTGGGATCAGCATTGTGATTATGATTGAATGGGGCTGGGCATCACCTTTCACCTCCATAGAATGGCCAGAGCTCAGAGGATCCAGAACTGAGAGGCAGGAGAACAGACTCTGGCCACCTTTCCGTAGTGTAGATAACCTTGGGTCAGCCTCTCTCCCATTTCCTCAAGAGGGGGTGGAACTGTGTAGTCCCTAAAATGCCTTTCAGCGGAAGCGCTATGATCCTGTGAGGATCTCAAAGTGCTTTTCCAGAGCTGGCTATTATTTAAAATACCCCTCGTGCAAAAATGCTGTGAGAAGAAGTCAGGAAGGGCAGATTGATAATATATCATGGTACGGCAAGTAGTCAGTCAACTAGCAAGTACGTACTGAGGACAGGTGGGGTTCAGAACATTGCCAGAAGTGGAAGACGCTTTGAATTTATTATTTTGAGAAGTGTTTGTAGATATCTCACAACTGACAAAAATAAGAATGGTTCTTCTCACCCTCCGGGAAGTAGAGAAGCAGCGTTAGTACCAAGGACAGGATCACGTGGTGGCTGAGAAGATGGACTTTTGGGTCAGAATGACTTGCGTTCCAATCCATACCATGAGGTTGTGCCACACAAATCAGCCACAAAATTTCGGTAATGTAGCAGAATACAGTTTATTCCTCACTCTGGCCAAGTCTAAGTGGGCAGAATGGCCCTCTTCCGTATTGTAGCCTTTAAAATATGTGACCCCCAAGACTCCTTCAGCAGAGAAAATGTAAGAAGGTTTGTGCCAAATGTTTTTAAGGGCCAGGTCTGTGAGTGGTCATATCACGTCCCCTCTCAACCTATTGGCCAGAATCCAGTCACATGACCCCAACTTAACTGAGAGGCAAGAGCTGGGAAATGCAGAGAAACACATGGATATTTAATCTTTAATTCTCACATCTGTAAGATAATGATTGTAATGTTGATCTCGTGGTATTGTCATAAAAGATGATACTACTGAGCCTAGTGCTGGACATCGAGGAAAAAACTCCTGAAGCGACATCTTGAAGTATTAGAAAGCTAAGTCACTACCTTGTTTGTGACGGTCTTCCACATGTAATCCTAAGGACCTTTGTCTTAAAACCGCAGATCCCAAGGGATGTCTCTTAATGATTAAGCCAGACCATGTCTACCTCTAAGGATCATTTGCTTAATTAGCAGAGACAAGACAAACAAGCACACGGCCAAGGATCAGAAGAGTCAGAAGCATTAACCTGCTTTTCCAAGTGAGGGCTTGGTGAGATGAAGAAGCAGGAATAAAGGAAAAGGGAGAGAACTTTTCAGCTCATTAGAAAAAGGAGGGTCAACGTTCAAGATACCAGGGGAGCCCCTAGGATCGGCAGAGGCCCCTCCATCAGGGCAGAATTACCTCTCTTTCTGCAGTGTATCCCCAACACCAGGGACAGGACCTGACCATGGGGGATGCTTAATACATGCTGGGTTTATTGCGTGGGTCCCTTGTGTTCGGTGGCATGGTGGCCTGGTGGCCTGGGGCTAGTCAGTGAGAAGTCGGTGGGGGCCCTAAGCCAGTTAGAGCACTTCCATCTGCATACACACACACACACACATACATATATATTATATGGTACATATATTATAAGTAGTAATGCACATATATTATAATATTTATATATAATATAATTATATGATAATACATATATATCTATATAATATATATATTTCACTACTATTTACAAAAGAATTTTTTTGTGAGAGAGGCCAACTATTTTGTATTCCAGAATGAAACTTAAGTGTAAGTCTAAGATGAATGCATTTGAAATAAGAGATCTTAAAAATAGAATGGAGAGAAATTGTCATCAGTTAGAGCAGAGGTCAACAAACTTCTCTGTAAGGGGCTAGATAGTAAGTCTTTTTGGCTCCGAGGGCCGTAGAGTCTATGTCACAGCTATGCTGCTGTAGAGTGAAAACAGCCATATATGACATGTCAATGAGTGCAAGTGGCTGTGTTCTAATAAAATGTATGATTACTGAAGTAGGAATTTCATATTATTTTCACAGGCCACAAAATACCATCCTCCTTTTGATTTTTTTCAGTGATTTAAAAATGTTAAAAAAAAAGGGGGGGGTGCCTGGGTGGCTTAGTTGTTAAGCATCTGCCTTTGGCTCAGGTCATGATCCCAGGGTCCTGGGATCGAGCCCTGCATCAGGCTCCCTGTGTCTCTCTCTGTCAACTAAATAAATAAAAGCTTTTAAAAAAATAAAAATAAAAATAAAAATGTTAAAAAACTATTCTTAGGTCATGAGAGGTATATAAACAGATATTGGGCCGCACCTGCCCCGTGGGCTGTAGTTCACTAATTCCCGAGTTAAGAAAAATTCACCACGTCTTTGTCATCAGACCACATCACAGTCTTATTTCAAAGATGTTCCTCTGAATGAAACGTATTTCTCAGAGTTCTAGAGAAACAGAATGTACTCTGTAGCTCACCTATCCGCATATACAAAATATGGTATAAATACGGAGCGAACATGAACACCTTTAACATCCCAGTAGAGCAGCCTCCTCAAGTCTAGTTACTGAAATCTGTGAGATTAATATTTGGATACGCATTTCCCACAAAGACAAACTTCAGATGGGACATTAAGCTGTACAGTAAAGTCTCAGGAAATCATTGCGCTTAGAAGACAGGCCAGCTCTCGCCTGCTTTCTCTGAGCACATGGCACTTTGTTGCGCGTCTCAGATTTGGTTCTATCTACTCATGTTGGGTCCACACTGATTGCGAAGAAATGGTCAGATTATTGCCAGTCTGGTCAAATGATGGCATAAAGCAAAACAAAACAACCAACCCAAACAAATAGTCTACTGAAAATGCGTTTTCTAGACCCTTCTCTTTTTACCTTACCAAGCAAGAGCACAGAGCACTTGGTATTTATTATAATAATTTAAAGCAATCAGTTCTGAGAGCCTGCCAGATTCTGTGTGCAAAGGCCAAAATGGGGAAGGATGATCTTAAATTGCTATGGTCTTGGCTTACCTAGTATCTTGCAGGAAACTTGCCTGGTACCCCAGGGACAGCAGATGAATCTGCTTATTTCCAGTATGTTCAGGAAGACATGCGTGCCGGACCTGTGCAGAGCGCCATCTGCAGGCGGATGGAGAGTGCACTCATGGTGCTCAGCTGAGCTGGAGGGAGGGCTGTGGGCCTTTAAGGGTGAAGAGCTGAGTCCAAGAGAGGCCACAGAACATGAACTGGAGAGCTGGGCTTCCAGAGTGAAGCTGCCTGGGCTGGATCCTGGCTTTGCCACCTAGCCACGTGACCTTAGGCAAATGGCTTAAATTTTCTGGGCCTCCTTTTTCTCACGTGGGAAATGAGCCCGATCAGAGTACCAACAGGATTGTGAAGACTAATTGATGCATACACGTAAGGGGGCTAAAACCGCGCCCAGCACATAGCAGGCACTCAGCACAAGTTAGCTTTCGCAGGTATCAGAGCAGTGGTGTGATGGAACAGGAAGAACCCTGCCCCGGGGGCAGGCCGGGTTCTCACGGTCCCGCAATGATTTATGATCCGTGGGTCCTTCAAGAGCCATTTTACCTCTCTGGTCTCTAGTTGTCTTCCCTGTAGAGTGAGGACCAGAATGCCTTCTGTATCTGCCTGATGGCAGAGGGCTGGACCCCGTGACTTTCTGAAGAGTCCTCCGATGGCAATATCTGAAATTAAACAGTCACTTAGCAAGGCACAAGACTGGGTAGTCAGTCCTAGCTAGCTATTGGGTCAATCGAAAAGCAGCAGCAAAAAAGAGAGAGATTAAGAGAGAGAGAGAGAGGGAGAAAGAAGGGAAGAAAGAAGGAAGGAAGGACAGAAAGGAAAGGAAAGGTGAGGGGAGGAAAGGAAAGAAAACAAATAATTTTTAAAGACTCTCATTCACATGATTTACAACATTAAAGGAAATTTAAAAGGTATTTTCATTTTAACCCAAAGCAATCCAACAGTGGGCAGTAGACAGTTATTCACCCGGAGATCACAAAGATCCACACAACTGATAATGATGATAAATAAGCCACTGTCCCTCATCTCATTCCACCCCTACCTGGCCCTACCCATATAATTTTTGTGAAATGACATTCCTAGAAAATATGAGGGTGCTGAGGGGTTGAAGGCAGGGATGCCCACACAGGCAAGTGTATCTCATTCGGTTTTAGAGACAATAGAAACTTGTCCTAACTCGGGTCTGCCTCTTACCTTCTTCTGGCTTCACATGAAAGCCTGTGCCAAGGTGAGAGGCTGGATCGTTGCAAATCTAGCTCCACGCCTGGAAATAAAGTAATCAGAAACACTCGTCCTGCTGTGAGAGCCTGGTAAATTTCACTCTTACTGCATACAAATAAGAAGTGGGTGAAGGCTACTTCAGAAGAGCCCCAGGGGCACCCTTTCTTTTGAGAAATAGCTTCAAAGCCTCAGTGGTGAGGTACCTTGTATCTCCTGGCTCCCAGAATTAGCTCTGTCCAGTGAGGATGATCCTAACTGCTGGCAGTGGAGAGTTCATTTAGTACGGGTTGGGGAAATGTCAGGGGCACCTCCAGAATTTTGTATGGTGGTCTTGGACGAGACTCAGGTCCTCTGAGGGGTCTTCTGGTTCCCTGCCCACAGATTGTATCCCCCACAGGCAGCCCTAGAGAGTGTCCACCCTTCCTATAGGTTCAGCGTAAGATCCCCAAAAGATCTGTAGATCAAACTAGAAAGGGGGAAAGGAGCCCCAAGTTCTCACTGATTCTAGAACACCACTCCCTCCATTCCAGGTACCCTAAACTGGCTGCGACACACCGGGAGTCCAACACGGCGGGCATCGACATCTTCTCTAAGTTCTCCGCCTACATCAAAAACACAAAGCAGCAGAACAACGCCGGTGAGTGACCCCCTTCCACTCAGAACTCCTGACAGCCCTGCGCACTGCCCAGGACATCTCAGACACCCGGGTCCAGGAAGCATCTGGCACCAGTGCTGTTCACTGTTTGCCCACATCCATGTCCCCGTGACACAGGGAGCGGGGGTGTAGATCCTTCTTTTTGTCTAGTGCAGGAGAAAAGGCCAGTGGGCCTTTGTGTTGAATTTGGAGGGAGGGAGGTAATTTGTGTTCTGGGCCTGTAATGGTGTGCACAGAAGTTACCTGCCTTGGCCATACCGCTGGCCATTTGTCCCAGATTCATGACCTTGCCTGGGTTCTTGGGAGGCCCTACCTGAGACCACATATCCCAGCTTCCTTCTGGTCCCTCCAGGCCTTCTGAAGGGGTCGTGCAGAGGTCATGGTGGGACAGCACGGTCACCACGTGGGTGCACACTGCAGAGGGAGCCCGGCCCTCTGCTTCCTCCCCCTGCTACAAGTGCAGAGGATACTGGGGGAGCCGCAGCTCAAAACCTGGCCCATCCCCCATCCGGCCTTGGCTACAGAGCCCAAGACTAGTTCTCCTGTGAGGGCTTCTCGGAGGGGTCTGTCTCAGTGCCTCATTTAAGCTCCTCACACTTTAAGTACCTCATTTGGCCTTTCCTTTAAGAACTAGACAAAGCAATTTGAATAGAACCATCAAATTGAGTATGTGTCACACTTGAAAAACTTGTGTTAAGACTTAGGAGGAAAAAGAAGTTTTGTTGCCTCCCAGTGGGAGAATGAGACAAGCTTAGGGGCAGAAGCCTGGAGCCCAGCACAGGGCCAAACAGAGCAAGGTCTGCACGAATCTTGGTGAATAAAGGAGTGAACGAATGACCATCAAATGAACACACGATGGACCCACACGTGGTGGGATATGCTAGACGTTTCAGGAGCTCAGAGGAGAAAGGCATCTTTTTGGATGAGGTGACCAGGAAGGGCAGCTATCATGACGCGAAAGGGAAGACATTTTGGCAGGAACAGAGTTGGTGCAGTGGGAAAGCTGTGTCTGCCAGGGGTGTTCAGAGCAGGAAGGATTTACCACAGGGCCTTTGAGAAAGCTGCTCTGAGGGGGTTTCGACTGGGTTTCAGGAGGTGAAGGGAGAGTCAGTGGGCTTTGAGTAAAGGGAGGAGGTCGTGGGAGTGGGGGTGGGAAAATGCCAGCGGCAGAGACTGAAGAAAATGACCAGAGCCCACAGCTCCAGCCTGAGGGTCAGGTTTTATCCTGGGAGTCACGGCAGCCATTCGAGGGGCGTGAGGAGGCATGAGAAGGAAACCAGCCTTCAGTGACAAGAAGAAGAAGAAGAAGGGATATGGAGAGATTTTAAACAAGTTCAGTGCTCCTGCTTCCCTGATGTTTGGACCTTGGTGGGTAGAGGAGTGTCCCCAACAAAGCCATGTCCACTGGGGACTTGAGAATGAGGTCTTAACTGCAAATGGGGTCCAAGTAAGAAGGGAACACAGAGACCCGGGGAGAGGTTTGTGTGAGGGTGGAACAGGGATTGGGTTGTGACAACCAGACTGGGGGGGCCACCAGAAGCTGAAAGAGATGAGGAAGGGCCCCCTGGAGAGCCTCAGGAGGGAGCGCGACCCTGCTGACACCTTGATTTTGGACTTCTGGCCTGTAACACCGGGAGAACGGATTTCTGGGGTGTTGGGCCACCCACTGTTGTGGTGGGGCTGGGACTCGAAGGCAGCCTTTCAGGGCCGCGTGTGCCAGGGAATTCAGCTCTGGTTTGCACATCCCACATCCAAGGCCCTGTCCTCTCAGCCACAAATACCTTCCTTCAGACTTGTCAAAGCACCCTCAGAAGGATTATCTCATTGGAACCTTCCAGAGTTTTCAAGTTACAAATGGCACTGACATCGTGTCCATATTTACAGTTCTCTGATCCCAACCCCAAAGCAGCAGTTTCCACTGAACATCCCATATCGGTTTCTTATAAACTCAAGGCTCTCCAATTTCCATTGTTTCCACTTCTTCTCTTTCCCCCTGTTTTTTCTCTGGGTTGAGTTCTGTCCCTGTGACTCCTTATGCCCAGACTCATCTGTGCATTTCAGAGCCCTAGCCTTTCTGCTGTCCCAGAGAGCCTGTCCCCATAATAGCCCTTGGCATGGGGGTTCTTCTGTCCTGCCTTGAACTGGACTCCATGCGTTTGTTCTTTCCCTGTAACTACGGCCTGCTACCCTCCCACCACCCTCCTCCTTCACTTTCCCTTCCCTTCACCCTTACCCTCCAGTTCTGGTCTGCTGGGTCCAGAAGTTCTTAGGCTCAGCAAGCCAGAAGCCAAGACAGAGAGTAGCTCGGTGGCCCACTGCACTCAGCCACTTGCTCCAGAGACAGGTCATACCCAGCTCAGCTTCCTGCCAGCTTTGTCGTCGGTGTCGCCAGTGGACCCCCTGGAGGCTGCAGCAGGAGACCCCCAGGCTTCCATTGACACCCCTCCGCATGCTTCTTTCCCATTTCTCTCTCTGGATCTTCAACTCTGCATCTATTTCTTCAATATCCCTTCTTCAGATTCTCCCTTTTGTGTTTTCAGCTTCATTATCTCTTGAGAAGAGCCCTCCCTCCCACCTTATCACCTAAAGCCTCCCAGTCCCCATAGATGCGCCGGCCATGGCAGTGTGCCTTTCTTGCCCTCTTGACATCAAAGTGTGAAAAAAACCAGCACAGTGATGTGGTCCTGCCCTGTGGGTCATCTCTCCACTCTTGTGGTGGATACTGGGGCTGCCATTCAAAATGTCCCTGTTTCACAAAACCTCAAAAGTTCCCTGCTACTGAGACCCAGCCCCCATCCAGGGGAGCCATTCATAGCTAGCACACAAGAGAACTGTTTGTTAGTTTGTACATTCAGTCATTCACTTATTCATTCAGCAAACACGGGTTGCCTCGAACGGCTACAAGCCCAAGCTAATGTTTCAAGGGCATTTCTTGTGTACCAGGTACTATGCTAGGTTCTAGAGGGGTCAAGACAAATGAGACCAAGTCGTTGCCCTCAAAGAGCTAACTAGGGGGGAGGGGGGAGGGTGGAAAACATATGAACAGGTGATTACTGGCCTGTGTTGGGACTCCACATCTGCCATTTCTAGCGGTACAATTTTACTAGAGAGACTTCTCTCTAAGCCTCTGTTTCTGCATCTATAAAATACACTTAGGAAGGCTTTCAGTTTCTGCATCTGTCAAATAAGGCAATTAATAGCACGGCCAGTTCTGTAATGCAGATTCGCTGACTCTCTAAGTCAGGGCCTACAAATTCTGACACGTGGGGAATGCTCATTTACTGTTAACTTTGATTATAGCTGCTGCTGAAAAAACGAGGCAAACATGAATATTGGCATCAGAAAATCCCACTTCAGCTCTTATTTCCACCACCCCCAGCCAGCACTTCCAAATCTCGCACTCACATCATCTCATTTCTGCGTGTTTCATTTTGTCTCCCACGTTCTTGGTGTCTTCTCCTCTTCTCCAAAGGCTACAGGGAGGAGGTTCCATGACCTGGGCCTGCCTGTCACACCTTCAGGATTGTTGCTTTCGACCTCAAGTTAGGGTTTTGTGCTCTGGCTTGGTGTCTGTCACTGTATGGCCTCCTCTCTCGATAGCCGCCCCGGCCGGGTCCCGCTGGTCTGCTGAGAGCGGATCCCCCTCCACGCCCTGCCACATCCCCTTCTCAGACGTGCTCTTCAGTTCGCTTAAAGACAGCCTGGACTTTCTCATGAGATTCTCACTCTCCCTTCCCCTGCTCACATGCTCTCTAAATAAATAAATGAAAGTCTCAAGATGCCATACTTAGTAAGACGCTATATGGCCGTACTTTCTGGTCACTTGGGATTTCTCCCATCACCGCCCTGGTTTGCAGGCGATGCAGGGAGTTTGTTTCCCCATATCTCAGAGACCAGCGGCTGTGTGGCATTCAGCTTAAAGACTGAAATCCACCGCCTGGGTTCAGACCCCAGCTTCCCTCTCTTCTTGCTGGCATGGGGACACCAGGCAAGTTACTGCAATTCTCAGTGGGGTTCAAGTTTCTTCATCTGTAAAGTGGGGGCAGTAAATGTCCGTACCTTGTAGGTGTGCCAGGAACAGTGCCGGCACTGGGTTCAGATATCAGCTCTTTTTTCATTCTGTTCAGTTAGTCAGCATACAGTTCAACATTAGCTTTTGATGCAGTGTTCAGTGATTCATGAGTTGCATGTAACATAATATACTGAATACCATCATCATCATCATCATCATCATTTTTTTTTTTTTAAAGACAAATGTCAGCTCTTGTTCTGTGCTGTTATCCAGAGGCAAACAGGTATACCTCAGCAGAGAGGTCTGGGGTAAAAGTGTAGTTTGAGGGGGTATATATACATATACACATATATAGTATGTATATATATAGTACAGTCCATGAGTGACAGGAAGGGAGCACTAGGGACAGCATGAAGGTTCACCCACACTTATGGGAGAGCAGTGAGAGAGAGGTCAGGGAGGAAGGTTAAGAAGGATTGGCCAGGGAGTGAAGAAGAAAGCTGGGAAAGGCAGAAGACAGGGAAGATCCTGAAGCTGAGGGAGGAACGTTTGTTTTGTTTTTAAGAGTGATCTGTGGTACAGAATGCTATGGAAAGGATTATGGGAGGCTTTGTGCTGTGCACAGCTCCCTGGAAGGGTCCTTGGGCGTCCTTCTCTGATGGCAGCCTCTCACCTGCAGCAGCCCATTCCTCAGATCCTACACGGCAAGTGGGAGTCCAGGCTGGCCAGAGAAGCAGGGCCCTTCTCCCTTGGGGAGGTGAGGGGGTGTAGGCACAGGAGGAGACGGCTCTGAGTGGGATCAAGAGCCCACTGGGAGGCAGTACTTGTGGCCCTGAGAAGGGACATCCCTGCGCGTGCAGAGAGCAGCACTACGCGTGGGTTTGGCTGTGGGAGTCCCCGCTCTGAGCCCCTGCAAAGGTACTTTTTCCATCCAACAGGATGGCTACCTAGCCTCCTGGGTGCAGTAGTG